CAGTTCCTCTATCCTCTGCTGCAAAGAAATGATCTTATTCTCAAGGCCCTTGTTCAGTTTCTTGACATGTTCAACAGACCTAGCCTCCTGCTTCAGTTTCTTGAACAGACGTCTCGCCATCCACCGCCTCACCACTGATTGCACAGTAATGATGCGATGTATGGTGTGTTGGTATTTCTTTTGTGCCAGCCAGCAACGCACATACTTCTGAATGATAATAGCCTGCCACCAAACAAAGCCATTATGAAAATTTTATATATTTCTTATATGCCAATACTAATTTCATGATCCAAAGTCCTTCTTGAGATGCTGACAGTCACTCAACTGCTCAAATCCCCTGCCTTTAATTAAACCTGAAGAATCATTATCATGTTCAAAAAAAGCTACCACTGGAAGCCATCCTGAGCCAGTTGAATCGAGTCTACAAGCTCACGCCCCAAATTCAAGATCTGTTTTCCATCTACGCCTTCATCTCCCAAATGGTAACTTCCTTTCACATATTTAAACTCATCTCATTCATATTCATCTCCTTCATGTGGCATAGAAGCCCTCATTTGATAACCCTGATAACACTTAATGAAGATCACAAATTTTATAGCTTCTTCTAATGCAATTTTCCAAATCATCATACTGCTTTCTTTCTCTTATATCCAAATATTCTCATCAGCACTGTTTGCAAAGACCCTCAATCTACATTCATTCCTTAGAATGTGAGACCACGTTTCTTCTATAAATGGTAAAATCACATTTTCAACATTTTAATCTTTAGACAGGATATGGGAAGACAATCAGATTCTAAATTAAATCTGCTCTCAACTTCTTTCTAAACCAACATGTAACAACAGAGTCAAATATCACAGATAAAACCCAATAACACATTTGCCTTTCTAATATCTTAGGAAAACCAGCTCAATGCAGACAATTTATCATAGAAAAATTGGCCAGGACATCATGCTTCTTACAAATACTTAAAAAAATAATATAACCTCGAAGATTATAGTCAAATAATGAAAGCACATTTCTGAATTTGCTTGCTGCCTTTAACATAACAAAAGTGTTTCCCATGGTTTCTGCTAACATGCCCACGGTAAACAGATGAGTGTATTTCTGTAGCTGTGGTAAGGTCAACCAAAATTAAGAATAGCTACAGCATGTTTATGCACAAACAGACCAAATAAAATATGAATTATTCTTCAGGCTTTATAGCTCCGATATGAAACAATATAAAAGTATAACTGATCTCTGACGCATTACCCTTCAAACTAAAATAAAATTATATTACATACAATACATGTTTGCAAAATTCCTAACATACGAGTTGATTTTGTGATCACATGACATTTAAAAGAAATCATTTACCAGACCAAGGATCTGTACAAAGACTGACAGTGACATACCTTGTGATTGTATCGCATCTGTTGATAACGTCTTCTTGCCAATAGCCCTCGAGATCGAGCCTGTAGACCCAATATACATAGCTTAATTCTCCCAAACTGAGTCCTCTTAAGCCATCCTCGTATATGTCGCTGAATAGTTGTTGCAGCCTTGTTACGGCGAATATGATAAACACGTCTGCAGACACAACACAAACGACTCTTGCATATAATTCCAGAATATCCATCATTACAGCAGAAAATTTTCAGTACTTTCAAGAAAGAAAACATAAATTTTTTGGAAAATTTAAATGAATATGATATACTGGTTATGAATTTTGCGAGGGCTACCAATATTATATTTCACTCAGTCTGACAGCAGATTATTTTCTCAAACATTCAGTAACAAAAGGCACTTCGTACTTTAAAGATAAGCTTAAAAGCACAGCTTACGCAGCCAGCAATTTTGATAACACTACCAAAAGCATAACACAGCTGTCTGGGTCATTCCAGTTCCTGACAAACAAACAGAAAGGTCTGGTCACTATCAAACATACCTTCTAGCAATAAAGCCTCTCACATAACGCTGAATGCACTGAGTAGCTTTCACTTTACGCAGGTATTTCTTGCGACAGATGAATGCACGAACTTGCTTCTGAATTATTATGCAGCACTGGCGAAGTTTGTCAGCACGGAGCTTCTCTAGATACGCCACTTGACCAGCCCGGAAAAATATTTTTGTCTTTCCAAACTGATACTTATCATCAACCTGAAAATATATTGTTTTATGCCTGATAAGATACATCAGGAATGAGCAATTACAGTTTATGATTTTGCCTCAAAAATGAAGATTCAGAATTCAGCATTAAAGTTGTGTATCTTGACCCAACACATAAATCCAGCCATTTAGTGTTGATACATACAAACATACACACATTCCAAATACAATGTTCATACCTACAGTGGGTATGGTGATGCTGTATTGCATGTATTTTACAGAGAAAAAGTAGGAAAACTAATCATTTTATCATGCCCGTTGAAAGAAGTAATACTCTCAGTTTGTTGCAAAAATAAAGTAAACAAGACACAAAATCAAGACCAGTTTCAATAAGAACCTTTCAATAAAAGTGTTCCTGATAGTCTGACACGAAGTGACGCATAACAAGTGTCAGACAGGTGGTGACATAATTGTGGGTATGAGAACCAATGGCGTCTAAGCAAAATAATGGTGCTGAATAGTGAACGATGGATAAGAGAAAGGGACCACCATAATTACAACATATATTTGAAGTTCTCTGTACTGACCTTGATGAAGTTGCCCAAAATCTTTTCACAAGTGGCCCTCATGTTATTCCTCTGTATGTCCTTGTATTTACACAAAACACGATACCGATGGAAGAAATCTGCATATGTCCATCTGCAATTCAGATTCACAAAGAAAAAGATTGTCAATTTAGAAAATTTATGTTCATATTTTATCTTATGTCTCACACTTGATCATTGAATTGCATCACCAGAGCTTCTCGCTGCCAGAAAAATGTGTTCAGAGTGATTAATACATGGATATATATAAATTCTACCTTGAATCCAAGACCACTTTCAGAGAAGCTGCTACTATATGTGCCATCTGCATAATGTGATAATAAATAATTTATTTTTCAACTTCAGCAAAATTTTGAACAAAGCTACAGCACTTATACTCTGTTATAGTCACCCACCCTTACAAACGACTCTACTTATAACTTACAAGCCAACGATTACATATGATTCCTCAAAAATTCCACAAACATTTCCAGTATCTTAATATCCATTTTCTTCAAACCTTCTTTATATTATACAATGCTGCAACCTCAATGCAGACGTTCATACCTATAGCAGGTTACCTTATAAACCACCTTAACAACTACTTACCTGGATGGGAAGCCTGCTGCACTGATGCGTATAGTTTCTAAGACACCACATGCTCGTAACTGCTGTACAGCTCGCACTGGGTTGTATTCAAATGGCACCTTGTTATCATTTGGTTTTATACAGCGAACGTAATGAGGTGTGGTGGCATTGAGAGTCGTCATGAGCATGTTAAGAGAGTCTCGAAACTGTGATCCAACCTACACACAAGACAAAATTGTAAATTCTATCTATATTACAATCCTCACCATTATATATTAAGTCAGTACAAGCTTCACATCAGGACAAATATAAACACAAATTTCTTACAAAAACATGTGAAACAACTAAGTCAAAAAGGAACACAAAATTGCAGGATGGTATGGATATATCAGTAATGCATCCGTCAGTCAAAACCAAGATCATCAAAGATGTACATGTGCTACATAGAAATTCCAGTAAAATTTATCAGCATCGTACACGTGCTACTGTTTTGTGTTTATTTATTTGATATTACTTTTACCGACACTTTGCTACAAAAATACATAACACTATGAATAAACAATGTACATTACCAATGCTCATTCAGTGTGACAACTGAAAAGTACAGTAAAGACATGAAGCACTATTCAATGTTGTATGTTACTTAGAAATTCCAGTAAAATTTATCAGCATTTTACAGTATTTTTAATATACGTCAACTCTTACTTAACTGTGATTATGTAAAGCTTGGTGTGACCAAGGATTAGATGACTTAACATAAAAGACTTTAAGTAGTATTGAAAGAAAAATTGTAAAGGACACAAACAAAAATAAAATCTTTAGAGAAGTTCAAATCCAAAATTTTTTTACAGAATCAGATGAGAAGTGACTCCAATGGTCTGGACATTTGAAGAGAATGGATAGAATAAGGATGCTGAGAGGGTATGATGCATTAAACACTTGAAACTGAAATTCTCTTTCCTACAAAATGAGCCCACTAGGTCAAATTATATAAATAACAGAATAATCCTTGCCGTTTTCTTGTGCTGTTTTGATGACACTGGTACTGTTGGCTTTGCAACAGTGACTTTTACTTTAGCTGCTGGGACTTTCAGTTTCCTACCTTCCAGCTCATCATGAAACAACTTCCTCACAAGTTTATTCTGTAACAGGAAGAAATTCTTATTAGTAACATTAAATAAATTATTTTGACTACATTTCTCAGTCCCTATTCATGAAATTAAACAAACAGCTAACCTGTCCATTCTTAACAACATTAATTTGATCTTCAAGAACAGTATCACGATTCTTCTCCAGAAATCCATCACTCTGATATGTGACATTGTCCGCAAAATGGTAGATCAGAAATGCGGTTGTACCAAACCTTGGTCTTGAGAAATGTTTCCATTTTGTGCACTTGCTATACAGTTTTTCCACCCACGATGAATCAGTACCCTTTGGCATCTGCAGAAAAGACAGAATGTTCATCAATGTGTGTATGGAGCAAGGCGATCGATAATCTTGATGATGGAGGCAGCTATCACCTCTCAAACGGTATATTTCTACCAGACTGCACGGTGCAGCATCCCAGAAGGCAGACATTTTCAGTTCCTCACTAAATTTAACACATGCAAATTGGTCATTTAGTCCTCTATCTTGGTTTGGCCTCAGTTTAATTCAGATATGAGTATGAAAATGGCTGTCTTATGTTTGTAGTGCCTTGCATTCTGGTAGAAAAGACTGCACAGTGCTGCAACCCAGAAGTGAGTCACCTAGATAAGAGACAGTGAAACTATTAACAGTCCAGTTTTGATGAAAGAGTCCATTAATAAAAAGGAAGGGCATTATCACTGATATTTAATTAATTAAATCCGTGGCGTAACAGCTCCAGAGAGCCAAAGCTAGCTTGACTGCTGGCCTCACGTTCACATGCCATACACTGGTCGAAAATCTCATGAGAATATTTCTTCTCCCCCGAGACTCAAACCAGCACGCATTCCATATCGCCGGTCCGAAGCATGATGCCTCAGACCGCGCGGCTACGGCGCGGGACTTATCACTGATATAGATTTTAAAAATTATAGAATCCTGGTGTGCATCAGGCCACATTACTATGCCACCATGCTCGTAACAGCTATTTGTCCTGAACATCAAACCTGGTACACTAACAAAATAAACTTACCCTACACTCTTCATCCAATAAGTCCAGTATGCCAAGCTTTGTCTCTATCAGATCAATGCATGGTTGGTTGTCATAGAAATCTATGAATTTCCACTCTATTTCCTCTTTCAGATATTCCTCTTGTTCCAGTTTGAACACATGCTAAGCAGGTATGAACAAAGATCACACTACCTTTTCAGATTATTACTGGAAAATACTGTTTAAACTAATTATACAATACAACATAAATATATTAAAACCATGTACAATATAGACCTTATAAATATGGAAATCTTAAAGACACAAAATCACATTAAATTTCATTGTATGTAAGTTTTACTTTCATAAATTTGTACTTTTCTAATATATTTTTCATATATGAATTTTTGGTTAAAATGTGTGTAAATGAAAAGAGTAAATATCTTAAATTTCTACCATTCATAGCCCCCCCTCCCAAGGCTTCAGCATATAATAGACATATAATAATAGTAAATACTTCACATACACTGCAAAATCAGACTTTTTAGAATTACTCTGAAGTTTACAATAAGTAGCCTTACACAATCAAGCAAATAAATGCTAACCAGCAAGCATTTTGCCGATGAAAAACAGACCAAAAAAACCCTGTAAGTTTCACCATCATATTGGCTCACCTGGTTGAACTGTTGTTGTAATTTCTCATTAGCATAGTTGATACAAAACTGTTCAAAGCTGTTTATATCAAATGTTTCAAACCCATATATGTCCAGTACACCAATGAATCTCTGCGAGGTGCCTGTACTCTCTAGAGACTTATTTACAACCGTCACAATCCAATTGAACAACTCAGCATAGATGTGTTTTGCAAGAGCGTCCCGGGCACCCACAGCCTGAGAAAATAACCACAACACTGAAAAAAAAACCACTTATACCCAATCATTAGTTCTTCATAATTTTAAGATTTTCATCCTTGTCAAAAATAAAAGATTAATAGTTCAATAAGTATAATACTAAGGTTTTCATAACTTTATCAAACTTACGTCAAGGGATCAGACCAGGATTAAATTATATTTTAATTGTGAACTATTATTAAGCAAAGAATTGCTTATAATAGATTAGAAAGATGACTGTCTTCTGGGATGCTGCACCACGTTGTCTGGTAGAAATATACCAACATTTCAGAGGTGCTTGCTGCCTCCATCATCAGGGCACTCATCATCTTGATGATGGAGGCAGTGAGCACCTTCGAAGTGTCAGAAGACTCCCACCAAAGAGCACAGTGAAAACATCCAAGAAGACAGTCATCTTCATATTCGCCAACTTGAAAACTTAAAATCTTGCATGTGTATAAATTCAACAGTAAAGAAAAACACACAGAAGTAAAGAAGTATTTTTTTGCTACACACAAATCTCAAAATTCACTGTCATTCCAGGAATATCAGCATCACCTCTGTAACTGTCATTGGCTTGAAGAACACCTCACGCATGCTGACAATCTTCCTGTGACATAGCCAACTCCTCATCTCACTCGCATCCAGCTGCAGCAGTTCCGCCAGTAGTAGCAGGTGCTTGTCATTTGCCTGAAATATGCAAAAGTGTTTCTGTAACACAATCCAGTTCAGAAACTTTTACAGAATAACCTATTCTGAATAAGGATAAACATCTCAGTCAAGTGAAAACAGGAAATGACGGCTGTCTGCTGTATCGCCTACCATCAATGTAACTACATAATACTAAACGCATAAAATTGTATATCTACCTACTGCTTCATATGCAAGTGGCAGATAGTCAATATACTTTATTCAGGGTGACTGAAGAGTACATAAAATAAATTATTAATGATTTACCAACTTCAGAAGTATTGCGAGGATAATAAACTTTGGGAAGTAGCAGACTCATATCTCAACCTGGATACTGTCTGTCATGATAACATGCAGGCGAGACATTCAGACAATGTTGATTCAAGTCACCTTCTGCTGCATCCAGTAAGTATGTTAAATAAAAGGACATTCACTGCAAATCTAAAAATTCTAGCAATAACTTCTTGCTTCTCGTCCCAGTAATATTTTGCATAAGCTGTACCACCGTATAATTTTTCAGATACAGAGGGAGAAAAGAAATGGAAATGTACCACAGCTACAAAGTCTGAGAACAACCTAATATTAAGTAGAACTCAGAGAAAATTTTGAGATTTATCTAATTATAAATGTAACTCACAAGAAAACCTTATAAATACCTAAACACACAAGTAAGTCTTTTATATATCTAATTCTCAGAGGAACTCACCGGAATTGCACTGCCTTCGCTATCCCCGCCACCTCCGACTCCTTCCGTAATGGCGTCCATAATTGTCACGTTACCCAGATGCAAGATGGCTGCCAGAACTTTAAACATATCAGCTTGTTCTCTTTGGCTAAAGCCTAGCAATGACAGGGCCATTGTAGTTTCTTCAAATGCTTCGGCGTCATTCACACCATCTATCGTTGGGTTTGCACCTTGGTTCAAGTAGTGAAAATTATCTTGGTGACCTATAAATTAAATACCACTTCTTTTGTTTATTCCTCTTATTTTATAATAAAAATAGCTCATGGTGCCATCACACTGCGTGCATATCCCCTAGTAGCTCATAAACCAAGTGACCGAGTTAAATTAAATTTGGTGTGATTGAATGGCATCTTCATTCTTATTAATTTCTGATAATCAATAACGTCAACACGGCAGATGTACAGACTTCAGTGCTTGAAGCAAAACTGGCATTGTTTAAAGTTTTTTATTTGTAGTGTTCTGTCTGACGACAGGTCCATATGAACAGGATCCTTCCATCCTTTTCTCCGACTGGGACCTGTTCATATACGTTCTTGGCAGATGATCCAGAAGTGGTTTGCCATTGCCTTCTTCTGTGTGTGAATGGAGTAATTGTTGGGATGCCACGGAGGAAAACTCCGTGTTGCCTAGACCACGGCCTTGCCCAGCACAAGTTATAAATTCGGGCACCGCCGGGAATCGAACCCGAGACCCCAGGATTACAAGGCCAGCGTTCTGACCGCTAGGACACTGAAATTTTGATAATCATCAAAAGACATAAAACTTTTGTTAAGGCCCTTTTTGCGCATAATTCAAGATAATAACATACAAAAAAAATACAAATCTGCATTTACTTTTCTTAGAGAAAAAACTGAAGAACCACAGTGACTGGGCACGTAAATAAAACCTGGTACTGAGATCACTGACATAGTTACAAATTTTGTATGAAACATTTCTGTGTGTGCTAAAAAATAGAAAAAAACATGTTGGCAGTGCAAACCTGTGCAGATATGCAAAAAAACATTTCAATTGTAAAGTAACCCTTGCACTGATAATGATAGTATAACAAACAGCTTTAGAATATTAGCTTTCGCACTGGAGACTATTCTACACGTCCCTAGTCAGTCTGCGTGCAATAATGAAACAACACCTACTAAGATGAAGTTCTGGTAACAAATCTCTGGCTGCACAGAGCTGATAGAAGATGTGGTAATTCCGCTCCTCAGCTGCCTGAAATACCACCCTGGATTTCTCCAGAAGGTATGTCCGCATACTGGCACCCTGGATATGAAACTGCTTGTTGAAGTGAATTTCAATAAATTTCCCAAATCGTGAACTGTTGTCATTGCGAGTTGTCTTTGCATTTCCAATTGCCTGTTGAAAAAATATATAACAAATTTCAGAACACATATTTAACCCTAGAAAAATAATTACCTCCAGTTCGATAAATATTAACAGATTGCAGCTTTCCTTTAAAAAATGTATTTTTTTTAGATTCTCACTCTTTTATTTTATAGAGTTATTTCAGGTTTCAATATAATTTCAAGTAATTTTTATATGTCCATAGATAGCATTTTAATAACAATTCCAAACATCCCCAATTTGCCTGCAAAATAGGTCACAGAGGCAGTGAACATATCTGTAGAGAGAGCTTCTTTAAACAAGTACTATTCCTTCCTCACCCCTTTTTTCCGCATATAATTAGACTAGAAGAATTTTCTTCTCATGTGTTTTAAAAATTTTGTTATGTAAATCTTTGACAACAGTGTATGACTGAAGGAAGCACATTTTGACATTTCATCCTGTCTTACGCAAAAATTATGGGAAAATGCATATTGTCTTTATCCGGGTACGTAAATTCTATCTTTGGTCCTGATCACAACTACTAAAACATATATATGTGTTATGATTCATTAGTACAGTGCAGGATAAACAAATTTATTTCAACAATACTTCACAAATGTTAACAGGCAGTTCCAATGAGACTATTAACATAAAACAAATAAATAATGAATTCACTACAAAATTTTTATTAAAACAGCACCTTATCAGACTACTACAACTTACAGTGTGAGACTAATAACAATCACATGTCATACCATTTGGCTTAATAACATGTAAAATAAAATGCACGTCAGAAAAATAACAAAAATTGAAAAACTGGTAGAAAGAAAATGTAAAAAGTAATGAACGGGAGAAACTGTTCGTATAATTATTATATATTGCAATACCACCCAGATAACTTTATTCAATAAAATAGTTATAACTGAGAAATCCCTAACTTATAACTAGGATAAAATTAACTGAATATGTTAGAACCTTACTATCACCTCCAACCACAAACTTTACATCTCTTATCAACATGAGTAGATTACAAGTGGTTAGGAAAATCACTACCACTTATTCTGGGAATAAAGAAATTAAGTTTTAAATTTTTAAGACTGAAGTTCCATTCATCCCTTCATCAGTCACAACCCTATAAAAATGACAAGAAAAGTACAAAATGGGTACTTGTTGGTTATCGGGGCACAAAACAGGAGAGTCGAATATCTGGACTTGGATTGGACAGAAAAATGTGCATGTGTATCAGTATACCCGTATATTCGGTTGTTGTTATCTGTCAGTTTGTTCGATATTTTTAAAACGATTCTAAAATCTATAAATGAATTTTGGCCTCCGGAGACAGATTTAACAACAATTAACATCTCATGCATATCCAAATAAAATATAATAATTTGTCATTTATTGAAATAAAATATAATAACTTTCAAGTATATGTCATTTATCCACACACACATTAACCTAACCTATTTGTAAAGCGATGTGTCCCGATAACCCACAAGTACCACAAATTTTTAAACTAATTACTGATAGCAACTGAAAATCCTGAAATAATTTGCAATCAGTATACACATATAACATCTGTAACATAATTTGTAAAATGAATATGCAACGGGAAGGTAAATGTTGTCTTTCTACCTCCATAATAGGACTTGAAGCCAGGACTTTTTTTTCAACTTGTGTTTCTGTAGAAGAACCCCCAACTGTAGCGAAGTATCGCATGGCATATTTTGCAGATACAGTTTTACCAGCACCCGATTCTCCTGATACAATAATAGATTGGTCATTTTCTTCTCTGAAAAGAAATAATGAAGTGGTAAACAATTAAAATAAAGTCACAAAATATAAATTCATTAATGTACAGGTAACCCTCGATTTGCGCCGATTCAGAATAATGCCGCTTTTGAAACCAGCAAGTCAAAAAGTGAAGAAAAAAGATATATTTGACCATTATTTATAAAGTTTTACAATGTTTCTCGTACTGATTCTTATAATAAATCGTAATTCTTACATCCCTGATTTTGAATAAAAGTTATAAATACAGTCATCTCTGCAATTACGTATATTTCGTTAACGCGAATTTGCTCCAATGAGATCGATGAATCGGGAAACTAATTTAATCTCTGCGGAGGTACCGGGGTTATTTTTACTACGCGATTTTCGATAGGTCGGCGTCTTACATGAATGCGACTATCGCGTAACAGCAGAGATGACTGTACAGACCAATCACATGAAAGAATCGCAGTCAATCACGGGGACCAACGAATTGCCGATTGTAAGTATAAAAAATATATTTTTTAAATTCCATTTATTTTATTTTCGTTACTTCAGAGCTTTAAATGTAATGTCATTATATTACTCGTCAATGTTTGGGTGCTGGGAACGCATGTCATTGACTTCCCATTGATTTACATTATTAAAAGAGTTTCAATTTACACCGGTTCGTCCACGAACGCATCCCCGGCGTAAATCGAGGGATAGCTGTAATACTGCATTACATTAGACTGCCTAGGCAGCTTTAGTATCACACTTCTACTATGAAGCAGACAATATATCAAGAGAAATATGATGGAACACCTTACCGTTCCAGTTTAGTGTAGGCTTCTTCAGCAACAGCGAAGATATGAGGATCAAGATCACCCATGGCCTGCCCTCTGTAGGCCCAAACAGTATCACTACCATAAATTGGCAATTCATCATACGGATTAATGGCAACCAATACAATACCTAAAGACAGAAAATCACATTTGCTTTGCACTGTAAAAGTAAAGTAAAGTAAAGTTTGTCCCACTATACGCCATGTAGGCACTTGGGGGAGAGGAGGTATAGCTCCTCTCTTCCTTGACCTCGGCACTAGATTGGGGTGAGTGGTCAGCATCACGCCCCGGCCGGCTTTACCCCCGGGAAAGGACCCCGGTACCCATTGGACAGGAGGCTGGGTGGGCCCCAGAGCTGGTCTGGACGCAGAGGCTAGAGGAAAAATCCTCTGCCCCCGTCGGAGATCGAACCCCGGTCGTCCAGCCCGTAGTTAGTCACTATACTGACTGAGCTACGCCGGCTCTTTGCTTTGCGCTGTGCAGTTAAGCACTACAAAAAGTTATGTTTGCCTAGGAACAAGACCAGGGAGAAATCTAGAGGGGCAAAATTATTCGATATGTTGGAAGACATTACACACGAAATGTACGCCACATTACTGTAATACTAATCAGGAATTAAAAGGCACAGGAAATAAAACTGATTACACTTGAGTAGGTTACATCACCAAGTTTTAGTGACCTACATTTTACAGATGTTCAATGAGGGCACCATGACTGTCCCATCATTCAATTTCAGTCCAAACATTGTTAAGCGAGTCAAAGGAAACTACAGCTCCTGTGTATCTTATCTTATCCTGCTAGCACATTTTGCCAAAATGGTAACCAACAGCACATAAACAACATCCCCGATGTACCCCCAAAAGAAAAATCAAGGGGAGTAAGGTTAGGGAAACAAGGTGGCCAAACAATTTCTCTGAAAATATGCGATTTAAGAAGTTTGTCACTTCCTTGTGGAAATTTGAAGGCAGTCCAGACTGTTGGAACAGCTTGTTCAAAAACAGGCATCAGGAGTTCCTGTACCTGAGATGCCACTTTTACAATAAATGTAGTGTTTCAGATGAAAAGATTTAAAAATGCAAGTGGCACAAATTATGAACCTGATCATATAACCTACTAAAATGCATTTATTTTCCATTTTTCTGCCTATCAGTTCAAAGACGACGTTACAGTAAAATGGTATATATTTCATGTGCGCATCTGCATATAAGATGACTTCTGGTACATTTCTGATCTCCCCCATGTGCACTACATGCCCTGCCCATCTCATCCTCCTAATAATGTTTGATGAAGAGTACAAATTAAGGAGCCCTTTATTACGCAAAACTTAAGAAACCCACATCACCAAACACTTACATGGTTTCAGAATGCAGATTTACAACTTGGTTTCCTGAAGAGGTAACATCTTAAGCTGGGGGCCACACGACCGTACAAAGAACGTCAGTTGTAACGCACATCGTGACGTCCGTCATAGAATTATGATTTGTAAGTACAGACAATACTATTATTTTTTTCTAAATCCTTTCAAGCTGCCACGGTAATTGTCGCTCGTGTGATGTCCTCACCTACGTCCTTTGCAACGGACGTACTTCGTACGGTCGTGTGGCCCCAGCCTTAGAGGATAATGAGATATGGGACCATTCCCATCAAGGCATATCTTACCCTTAGGTGAAACCTTGATCAATCTACCAATCCAGCATTAATAAACACTGATCACAGAAATTAATTTCTTTTCATATGTGGTTCTTTTCAATAAAAAAGTCCACCAAATTCATAACAATATCTACAGTCTGCAAGCAGTCAAATAATGTCCAACGTGAGACCAAGATAAAGTCTGTAATGTACGAAACTTATTCTACAGTGAGAAACTTACATTAAATACAGCCCAATTATAACTTACCACAGTATGTATATATAGCACTCTGCCTGCAGAATCGTACTTGTAGATTATAAAGCACAGCTGGTTCATGGAGGTATGACAATGATGTGAGATCATTCTCCCCTATCAGGATGTCAGGGTTTCGTAGAGGGGGCAGGTCATCATCTGTTTTTACCTCAAGATCATGTACCTATTAAACACACCAAGGCCCTAAGCACTCACATAAGGGCATGCTACAGGACACATTCAATGAGACTGGACACTGTTAACAGAGTAGGACTTCAGGCTCTCAAAGTGGTAAGAATAAAGATGACTGTCTTCTGGGTTGTAGTGCCATGTAGTCTGGAAGGTCCTTGCTACGTGAAATGTGTTTGAGATACATGAAACAGTCGAGGCAGAACCTTGATCAGAACAGTGAAGAAGGTCTGGATAAGGTGACACCCCAGGAGCCAATAGGAGAGGGGGGCATATCAAAGATTGATCAGAAGGGGAAAAACACACACAACAGAGAGGTTAAAGGAAATTGACTGCCCTGATGATGGAGGCAGCAAGGACCTGTGAAACACAAGTAAACTTACCAGACTACATACAGAAGACAGCTATTTTCATACCATTAACAGAAGATGCACAGATCAATAACATGCTTTATTTGGACATTCAGAAATATCTCAGAAGTAGAATTCAACGTAAACAGAATGAAAAATGGAAGCTGGGCTCATATATGTTGCATCAGCTCACTTCAGCTCACTTGGCAATCTCCACAAGGAAATTCTTAACCAATCACAACATTCCACTGGTTTCCTACCCATCCTATTGATCAAATTTAGCACATACAGTCAGTCAAGAAAACTGTTGAATAGTCAACTTTTGTTCTATGGCGTATAAACATGACCCTTATAGGAGCCTCGTTCTGATAAATGTTCATTTTTACAATAATTAATGTTAACTATTTAGCCACTAATAGTCAAGAATGATCACACTTTAATTCTGATTTAACTTACAGCTCCATCTTCAGATTTTACTTTTATTGTTAATCCCTTGTAGTCTTGGACAACCTCAGCCCCTTCCCACACCCTGTCAGGATGTCGGATCCATACCCGAGCCCCCTGTAACAAACAAAATTAATTATTTAATAGGAAGCACAGAAATGTTAAACAAGGAAGCATCTCTTCCCAATGCAAACAGCCAAAATGCAATTTCACAATATCACAGACCTCATTCTCAACATTCAATTAATCACAATAAATGTCAGACACCAAAAACCAGTATTAGTATGTTACAAAATTATTGCACTGGAAACTGTCAATAGCCCAAAGCATAACGACATACACAAAGTCTCAGTATTTTGATAAACAGAGTCCTTCAGATCACCAGCTGTCATTACAACAACAATTTATTATTAACTTCCTTACTAAAATTCTTCCTTGTTGTAAAGACAAACATTAAGCCTGCTGTACTTACTCTGCGTCTAAAGAAAAATTCAAGGTCATCAAAAATTATTTGCATAAAGTGCATAAAATGAATGCATAATGCGGTAACTGTGTCTGTCCTTCTGCATGTTTGATTTCCAAAACCACTTCAAGCATTGTGATAAAATTTGGTACTAGGAGTCTACACTAAGAGTTTTCACGACAGTGATAGTCTATGTTACAATGTACAAGCCATAACCTCAACACACTAAATGTTGTCAAGGAACTTAGTTCTTTGCAATAGTAAAATAAAACCCCTACCCCACATGAAGCACAAACCAAACTTCAAAAAATTTTTTACAAGAAAATCACCATATAAAAATTGTGGATATGACAACGCATATGTTGAACAGAGATGTACAACTTTTATTTGAAACATTTTTCAGCGCAGTAAGCATTTTATGAAATACAAGAAAAAATAATTTCTACGAAACGTGCGAAGTCTTAGGTTGGGTTTACGTTAATTTGATCACACATTTGATTGAAAGTAATTTTATTTACACGCAAGTACATGACGACCAAATTCAATCAAGTGTTTATATTCCCTGCAGAAACATGGTCTGATCAAAACTAAGAGCTTAATATCAAAGGAGTCAGCTTGGATACAGCATTTATTGAAGTGTTCAGTGCATACATGGAGTTCTGTGTACAAACCATAAGCCTACTTTCCTATTTCAGATTTCCAGTCCTACAAACCTTGTACTGCCAAGATCTTTTTTACACGTAATATCATTTCATGTCAAATGAAGGAACTTTAGTCGCATTATTTTCATCAATATATCTGATTCTAATACAATTTTTCCTGTCTGTTGGGTCTCCTTAGGGAGTGGCATACTCGTACATGACGCTAAGCTTTCCTTACTTTTCCTGCATTCTGATTCACTGAAGTGCCTATAACTCTGGTCCTAATAAAGACAGAGAGCTACTTCTTGTACCAATTGAAAGCTCTTAAGTGGGGCTCTCATTCGCTATGCCACTCACGGCATTTCAAGGCATGTTACTATTTTGGCATTGACCTTTGACCTTAACTTACATACAAATTTGTCGCCAGATTTATGTAGGTTTTCCCACGATACATATGCAAGCAATTCAACACATGCTTGGAAAGTATGATGTTGAGTTATGAAAGCGATAAAAAGCTTACGGTATTACGTTACATTGAATGATTAGACATGATAACTCATGTTGTAAGCTGCACAGATATGCTGCGGGGCATCATGCCTCATCCAACCTTTCACTTCACACCTGATTCCAGTAAAGATAAGTTGTATTTCCTTGTCTGACAAGTTCTGTCATGGTTTTATCAAATTAAAATGTTCATGGTCCT